GCATCCTCCCAATCGTAGATCGGCTGCAGGGTGGAGGGAGGAGGGAAGTTTGAGATGGAAGAACAGAGAACAAGGACGACAACGGGGAGGAAGGGAGGGTGAAAGAGAGGAGGAGGGGAAAGAGAGGAGGAGGAGAAGTGTGTATGTATTTGTTCTGGGCGGGATGCGGGAGTAGAGGAGCAGGTCACCTTGCAGTCCGATAGGTAAACTCCTCCTTTGAGGCCCTCAAGATCAGGTGACAAGCAGGCGAAGAGCGTCGTTGCAGCTCCCTGGAGACGCATGAGGGGGGTAGGAAGTATGTTCAGAGGGAGGGAGGATGGGGAGAGCGAAGGAGAGGAGGGAGGGAGAGGCGGAAAAGGGAGGATGAAAGGGGAGGATGAAAGAAGAGGCGTGCAAGAGGGAGGAGGAGCGCATGGAGCGAGGTGGAGGGTCACTGGTGAAGGAGCTCAGGGAAAGGACCTGTGGGATACTCTTGTCCTTGAGGAAGAGGGGCATGACAAACTTCCTCAGCCAGCCTCCCTGGTGCCTCCACAGGTCTGTCCCGATGACTCCAGGATGCACTGCTAGCGAAGTCACCTTGTTCCCTTCCTCCTGAAGCAGCCGCGCGTGCAGCCCTCGGGCGAAGAGGATGTTGGCAAGCTTCGACTGTGCGTACGCGTTCCATGCGGAGTACTTCCTGCCCCGGGTGTAGTGAAGGTCCGTGAGGTCCACGTTCTTGATCATGGTGTGGGCAACTGACGAGAGGGTGACGACCCTGCTCGGGTGCTGCTGGGACTTCATTTTTGGGAGAAGCAGCTGGGTAAGGTAGAAGTGTCCGAAGTGGTTGACCCCGAGCTGGAGCTCGAAGTTCGACTTGGTGTAGGTCTTGGGAGTCGCCATGACGCCTGCGTTGAGGACGAGCAAGTCGATCCTCTCCTCCCTTGCCAGCACCTCGTCCGCAAACTTCTTCACGGAGGACAGGTCGGACAGGTCCAGCTCAAGGACATCGTAGTTGGGGTTAGCGACCGCGTATCCTCCCAGCCCAGGATTCTTGATTTCCCTCTGCACTGCTTCCTCTCCACTCTGCTTGTCCCTTGCCGCCATGATCACGCGGCAACCAGCGCTCATGAGGGCCTTGCATGTTTCAAGGCCGATCCCCTTGTTTCCTCCGGTGACGATGGCGGTGCGGCCCGTGAGGTCGGAGCGGAAGTGCTCGATGACCTGCTTGGCTGTGGATTTCTTGCCCAGCTCACTCATCTGAGGGAAACTTGAGAAGAGGCGACGAGGAGGACGAGGAGGAGGAGCGTGGAGGCGTCCGGCTGCGAGGACAGAGGATCCGATGGCAAGGTGGGAGCCGTAGGAGAGCGGGAGCAGCCGAGGAGGAGGGAGGAGGAGGGAGGAGGAGAAGGCGGGAAGGAGAGCAGTAGAGCTGAGCGTCCTCTTCACCTCTGCTCGCACGGCGCAGGCGCTACAGACCATGGCAAGCGCCAAGCAGCGCCATGGCGACATACAAGGAGCTGATTCCAAGGGTGGGGTAGGGGTGATTCACGATGGGGTGGTACTGTACAGAGGTCACGAAAGCAGGGGGTATGTGCGCTGGTATGCATCTTATCACCCCATATTTATGTGGTCATAAGGTAGGGTACAACATTGTGTTGGAAATTCTTTACAGATGGTTCTAAAACAAGGGGTAGTCACTGTCATGACTGGGGTGGTAACTTCGACATTCCACAGAACATGCGGATCCTGCGCTTAGCGCTTGTGACCATGGCAGCGGCGGCGGCAGCGGGGGCACCAGGAGGCGGCATGAACATGATGAGGATGGGAGGAGAGCAAGGAAGAGGAGTGAGCCAAGAAGACTCTCTCCGCAGGCAGACAGCAGCGTTCGTGAGCGTGGGAAGGAGTTTGCGGGGCAACAGGCCCCCACGAAGCGGGCCTGCGGTGTAAGGCCAGCTGGAGGGATGCTGGAGATGAAGGTGAACGTGTGGGACCGAGTGAAGATCCACTACACTGCGAGAAGGCAAGATGGAACTGAGTTCGACTCGTCGAGGACGAAGATGAAGCCGTAAGTCTTCGTACTACACCATGTCTTCTCCTCCACTTCCACACCCTCGTCCTTGTGCTCGTCCTTCTCGACCATCATGTTCTCGTTCTCCGATGTTTTCTTTCTCCACCATTTCTTCGTTGTCTTTCTTCTTCTTCGACCTGGCGATTCTCTTGGTCCTGCTTCTGCTTTTCCTGCTGCTCCTCCACCACGACAGGCTGACAGCATGTCCTAGGTTTGAGTTCACGGTGGGGCTGCAGGAAGTGATTCCTGGCATAGAGCGAGTGGTGCAGGAGATGGAGGTGGGGGAGAGGAGAAAAGAGGTTTTCAAGCCCGAGGAAGCCTTTGGTCAGAGATCCGACAGCCTCCTCCTCAAAGTTGCGTCAGGAACGATCCCACCAGATGTAAGCTGCTGCTGCTGCTGCTGCTCCTCCTCCTCCTCCTCCTCCCCCTCTTCATCCTGCTCCTGCTCCTGCTCCTGCTCCTGCTCCTGCTCCTGCTCCTGCTCCTGCTCCTGCTCCTGCTCCTGCTCCTGCTCCTGCTCCTGCTTCCTCTGCAGCAGCTGCTGCTCATCGTCCTTATCTAATTCCTGCCATTGGTTCTCGC